TTACGTTGTCACCGGCATCATTTTTGAAGAAATATGGACCGGATCGGATCTTCTTGGAACTTTTCAAGAGCCTTTGGAGCGAAGCGTTATCGCTTTGGAAGATCGAACGCCTTCAGTTCTTGCACAAGCTGTATTTTGTACGCTTTCAATTTAAGATCTCAAAATAAAATGAGCCAAGTCGTTCCATATGTCAGTCCGAGTTGCTGTGAACGGCGCCGAATGGACTATACACTGTCTTCGTGTATACTCTCAGCTATGGCCGCTGTATTTTCTTCACTGCGTGCTGCACGTGGTCTATTCGGTTGAATATTATCCAATAATAAATGCTAGGTCTCAAGAATATAGAAATTATAGTTTCTTAATGCATCAGCTTTAGATTATTTCCAAATTAAATAAATGTTTCTATAATAATTTTTTGTTGAATTTATTTCAAATACGTAATACATATTTTTTTTAAATATTATCGGCTGTGTATACCTCAAAACAAATATATAATAATAACAAATATATATAATATCATTTCACACAGTTTTTGTTTTTGTTAGAACAACGAAAATCAATATATAATATATGGTATATCCAATATTATTCAGTCAATTTTGCTAAGGTATCTTACTTATTTGCCGATATATGCGATATAAAGTCAGCCGGTAGTTCGAAAATCTTTTCATTAGGTATATGGGGACTAAAGGAATTATTGACCCGATACAACCCATTTGTGTTCTAATTTTCAGATTGATATCTTGTACAGTTAGCATAAATTGACATTTTGACATTCTTGAAGGAAAATTAATACTTTGTTTGTATATAACCTTTGCGCTTTTATCAAGGTTTGCAGTTTTTTACTCATAGAATTCAGGAGGTATATTTGCCCAGATTTCCTGAAGAGCAGCCATAACTCCATTTTCGCTATTAACTTTGCGCTCTCGTAACCTCGTCTCCACATAAGCCCGTAGGTGTTCAATGGGTACTTTTTTTCACGTTAGCTACTATTTAAATTGAGTTTAACTGTTGACATAGCCAATTATTTTTTAATATTTCCTAGTAATCCATCTTGCCAAAGTGTACAAGCTTTTTTTCTGCTCAAAAGTGATATATTTTAATTTTTTGCAATCGTTAACATCATAACTGTTTCATTATTGAACTGTTTATAAAAATACTAAAAATAAATAAGGCTCTCATATTGTTACTCGTGGTTGTAGTTTAAAAAATGAAATAGTTTAAGAGAAAAGTCCCTCCTAAATCAAAGCATCTCTCTGTACAAGTTTTTTTCGGTTCACTTTATAGAGTCGCTGTTGCTTCCCTTTGGGTATTACAAACATCGTGCCGAAATTAATATACTCAGTACAGGGTATAAAAAATAATAATAGTCCAATAAGAGTATGAAATAAACGCTGCTTTAAAACGTATTACTGCAAAACCGTGACTTTGAGACGTTGCCATCTGACTCGGAAATTAAATTTTTGGTTTTATTATTTATGTTTCTATTTAAAATAAAATATAAGTAATAGTTTTCATTTAGTATGTGAGAAAAAATTCAATAAGCATACAAAGTAAATTCAATTTTAAAAGGTTTAAAGCCAAAAGTGTGGTGTTGCCATTATTTCTCAATTTTCTCACTCCATTCTATCTACAGTAGCTGCGAAAAGCAATGAAAAATCAAAAATGAATGGCTGAACTGTGAAATAATATACAAGAGGAGATTGAAAAAGACGCGTTCAAGCGGAAAGTTGAGCGCAAAATTAACTTTACACCAGCTCATGAACGCGTACATGCAAAAACAAACAAAAATATTTGTATAAGCATACTTTTGCACGTATATACAAGATATAATTTAACATATACATATGCATAACTTTCAACTTTAAATTAGGGATTTTCGCTCTCCATCGCACGCACAAATATTTTTCTTTGTTGCTGAAAGCGTTCCATTGGCTTTGCCCTAACTTGATTATCCGGTGCGTTGCGCTGCAATGAACTTGAACATGAAATGAAATTCTGGTGGCGTGCGAAAGTGCATACATGCATGTACATATATGACAGCGGTCATTGTGAGCATATTCACTGACGCTTTGCGTAGCTACTGTTGCCATGACCAAGAATGCTGCGTATATGACACGCCTCGTTGGTCGAACTCTTATCACAAACTGCGGCCTCCCGTGCAAGCGAGTGTGGATAACATAGTTGCAATTTTGACTAAAATACATATGTGCATACATACATATGTGTATACCTTAAATGCTGCATCTGCATATTCGTATGCTTCCATATTTGACTTATTGCATACGAACTATTGTAGTGCATGGAAATCAGCTGGAAAGAAAATTGTATTTAAATTTCTTGCATAGACATTATATAACGTTGCCGCATTCTCAAATTTAAATATTTGAATTGTATTTTATTCGCGAAAATACATTAGTTTGGAACTGATTTTGTTAAGTTGCAAGTTAATAAAATGAAAATTACGAAAATTTGGTTCATAGTTGAAGCTTATTATTCCGCCAGCACAATGCTAATAAATTCGTCAACTTAAACACAACTAAAATTCATAACTAAACATCGCTCAACATGAAATCTTGCAATACTTGCCTGCTAAAAAATAAAAAAATAAAATAACAAGAGATTAGAATATATGTTAAATTCAGTTGCACCGAAGCTATAATTCACAAATACAAAAGTTTTTCATACACGCACTTGATGATGACAGCTATATGATTTCGAAGAGTGCTCATTGTTTTAGACAGTAATACATGCCAAATTTCTTGAGCATTAAATTATACAATTTTGTGTATGCTTGTACACTAAACTCAGAGTTTCTTAAACCCCATATAAACACAGCATCTAAACCGCCTTTTAAATCCTATAATTTGGTATATACAATGATGCAAGTGTATTATAACGAAAACAATTTAAAATAAACTCTGAGTTTCTTAAACA